TGATGATGATGATGATGATGATAGAATAGTCTGTATTGCTGTTCATTTTCAAAAGTGTGCTTGCAGCGAATCTGGTACGCACGCAAGAATTATCTTGGGCATCGTTGTAATCAGGCTCTAAGTCGCTCTAGGAGTGCTGGAGACTGATGCACTTCGGATGTTTTCTGTAGACTAGCCGTGGTTCCCCGTTCCTGCCCCATTTTTTATTTGGATTAATAGGCTTTATTCGAATAAATTGGCCTGATTATACATCAGTGAAGCACCGGTTTTCTCATCTGGTTTTGCTGCCATGATGAAAATCATTTGCTGCTTCCTGTTGTTTGTTTTTTGTGCTCTATGTCCTTTGGCGTGGTTCTGAATCTAAATTTGTTTTACATTTAGAATATGTGTCATCCATATATCTGCAAATAGCCTCGCCCTGAAGCCATGTTCATTCATGAATGATAACTCTACAACTTTGGTCGAAGTGACTCTCTGTTTGGTCACCGTATTGCAGGCCAAGCTGAATGGCGTCTAATGTTAGCTAACCAAATGCATGTTCGTTGGATGAGTCTTTTGAAGGGTACATACCATCAGACTTCCTTTCTTGTATACTGTTGACCTTAGTTGTTCAGTTTTCCCACTGCTGGTTTTAAAACTGTCACCTCTAGTATACATGTGCACCATTTTTAAAGAAATTGCAGCGAAAACTCACAGAGAGGGTATCATTGCTTGACATCGCTGTTAATGACCTTGGACGTGTACAGTTTTTCATACATATTCGGATGCCCGCGCATCTCTGTGTCCGAACTTATTCGTATTTCAGACTGATAAGCACTGATAAGGAGGTCTGAATATCCACGAAGTCAAGGAGCACCAGAGTCATTGGAATTTGGGACGATCAGTTCAATTAGCTTCATGAATTTTGATTCCACACAGTTCTCATCCGATACTACTTAGTGTTTTTTATTCGAGCCTTTTGGTAAGGTGCTAGTTCAAACGGTTTTCTCTCCATTGTTTGTGTTGTTAGTCTATTTTGTTTGCTGGTTTATTCTCTTTTTTTTCGTTTCATTTCCAGAACTCCACGCAGTATGCCACGGGCGGTGTAAAGCAGAAACTTGCCAGCTGGTTAGGTCACTTACAGGCGGGAAATATAAGTGACTGGGTAGTTCTGATGATTGACGCTGATCAAAATTCAAGCAAGATGTGGCAGAAAACAAGTGTATTGGATCAAATCAAGCGCGACTTTCGTGTTCCCAACACGACTACGTAAGTGTCAGGTGGGGAGCATTACAGAATGTAAAATTTTCCGCGCTGTTGTCTCGATTCCTGCTGTTAATTGGGGTATTCAGAATAGGTTGATTGGTGAAAATGTTGAAGATTGAGGTTTTTTACTGATAGTATGAGGAGACTTGGAAATTTTAATCAAGATTTCCAAATCAAGCCAGTTTATGCTGAAAAGCTGAGAAACACTCAACAGCTGTGTGGATCGTCAGAAGCACGCACCTCACGAAACTCCAGGGAGTTTCACGCAGTCTAAATTTCGTAATTTGAGGATGACTGAAGCTAGCTAATCAGCCGTTAATCTCCGGACTATTCGGTGTCCAACTGCTGGCCGGGAGTTAGCGGGTTCAAGACTCCCTGGATTTCCGTTTGATGTGCACTGCCAATGATTTCCAATAGGTATGAAACAGCCGTACTTTGCTTCTCGGCTTTTTAACATAGATTTGCTTCACTTACAGGCGAAATCTCAATTAAAAGTCCTAATGCTGTTTTTTGTCTAACTTTAATCATCATGACGATCCTACATAGCGCATGTCTGTGAGCGAGGTAATCAGCAGAGCAGTGGTATGTAGACACATTGGTGACAGCTCGAAGGCTGTTTTTCATATAGTGGCAGTCGCTTGATCTAGATTTGCTTCAGAACTCTACACACATGAAGGATTAGAGAGAGAGAGAGAGAGAGAGAGGGTTTGTAGTTATTTGGGTCACATAGAGAGCCTTGTTTAATAAGAGAAACGGCTTGGAGACTTTCTAGAGAAGACAGAGATACGACGCAGGAGAGAGAAAGGCGGAAGAAGGGTTATATGAATGGAGTTAGTTTAGCGGTAGAAGGTACAGACGAACAGCCTAGCTGAAGGGTAGGTAGTGAGGTGGATTGGGATGAATTCTGGGGGACAGAATGTTTGGCAATTATAGCACTTTCTTGAGTAAGCTATTCAGGAACTTTGAAAACAAGAGGAACTTCAGAAATTCTGATCAACTGCTTTCTCAGGATTTCAACAGGGTCTGCTTCCAGTAGGTGCGCTCGATGGTTGATTGGCCTTCCAGTTCGCGCATTTTTGATAGTGCATGAATTTCGTGCAAGCTACATTCCGAGCGAGATTAAGGAAACGGTTCTTATCCCAGTGTTTACATATTCACTTCTCTTTTCTAAGACAACCGGAAACGAACGATTCTGTGGATTCGAGTTCTAAGAGTAAGAAAAACGGCATACAAATTATCCCCTACCGTCCTGATCAGCAGATCAGTACAATGAGATAACACAATGGGGCGGTGGGTGCCGAAAGTTAAATCCCAGAATAAGTTGTGTGATAATAAAGCCAGCCGAATAGAATGGGCTTGTGTGTCTTACACAGAGATAGTCCACCATTTACCACTCCCTCCACATCAAAGCGTTTTTTATTCGCAACGGAAATAATTCTGGGACCAAAAAATGCCGAATCGGTTTGACAGTAAACCGTGTTCAGTAGTTTCTGTACCTTCTTTTAGACTGAATAATCAGAATGGTTCCGATAAAACGAGGACGCGTTTATTCTGCTCAGTTCGTTCGGAGATTGTCTAGCGTGTATCGCTTTTTTGTGCTCTCGTTTCAGTCATTTTCTACAATTGCCAGATCGGAGAGCGGTGGAGGAAAAGGTATTCCTTGAAGCGTGGACAGCGTTTTTACGGAGCTTCAGAAAAATGATTCTAACAGTCTATCAGTCTACCATCGAAGACTATGAGAATCACCTTCAGCTGCTACAGGAAGCGCAGGGAACTCCAGGCTGGGAATTTTTCGAGTATCTGGAAAGAAGAGTAAGTAATTCTCCCGGTGTCGTTTAGTAACCCACCGTGCGGCAATTGTTACACATAAGGCTGCGAGGCATTCCTTATTTAAGCTCGATTCCATTAAGGGCTTGTGGGCTCGAATCAGCCGCCGTTGTAGAATATGCCGTCTGTGGCTCCTGTTGTACTACTGAAGGCGAATCATGATAGATAGCCGTAGCAGATACGGTATATTTTTGCCGCTTAACCATTCTTGGATTGACTGTTCCTCACGAATTAATAAGATAGGGCGCCTGTGTCGGGTAATCGACTCCATTCCTTCGTTTGTCCTCATGGCTTACGCACTTAGGTATGCGCTGAATCGCTAGGACGTAGCCAGTGCATGCCACACTGCGTCAAGTGTAGGTTGTTTCTGATTCGGTAGTGCAAACCGTTGTGTTGGTGAACGATGACCTATGCTGTCTATTTATGATTGGTAAATATTTCGGCTGGGTTATCATAGGGTAATGACCGGTGTATTTCAATAACCCGGAATTGTTGGGTTCAAGTAGGGTTGTGTTTTACCGGGGCTCGGTTCCTGTTGATGATTTATCTGTCTTAGTTGAAATTTGGTTATGGTTGCAACAGAAACTCCGTCCAAGTTTTTGGCTCAACTGGATTTCCAGCTTATTTGAGAACTACCATCAGTAACGTCCGCACGTTGTCGGTGGTCAACTTAATATATAGAACTGAATTTCGAGTTTTCCTATTATGGATTCAAACTACAACAGTTGCCACTATTTATCTTAACAATAGGACGACTTCGCATCAGTGGAGCAGTGACTGGTCTGGTTTGGTATTATTTGTGCTTAGAAACTAATAAGAATAATAAGTTAGTGATAGCACCCTCTCGATGCTAAGCTGCCATGTCACCCGAAGGAAGCACGTGAACTCAGATACTACCAGGTTTCCTGAGCGAAAGAGGAGCAGTCAGGGAGCCAAACAATGGACCCCGGATCAATAATTCTGAACCTTAACCAGTGAGCTATATGGGGCGGCTTATAAACATTTCCTTCGATTCAATCCAAACATTGATGTATTATCACATCGAAGGCTGTTCTCAAAGGCTGTCTGGCTAAAAATGATGACAAATGGTGACAAATGGTGATGAACTCAACAAATCGCAGTGTGTTTAAAAAATTTACTGTCCATAGTAACACGGTCTGCTAAACTTTAGGACCTTCTGACTACTAGTGAATGAATTACCGTACAACTTTCCGTTTGCAAAGCGATCTAACATTCTCTCAATCTGAGCAAACAAACCACCAACCGACCAAATTTATGACACCCTCACTGGTACTGAATACACGTGTTTGCCTACACCCGTAACATTTGTACTGACAACCTCAATGCCTGTCTGCAGTTCTATGCTCTGAGGCGTCCACTGAGGTTAATGTCCGAACGTTCTGCCGCGCCTGTTTGCTAAAGCCGCACTGAGCAGTTTGTGTTTACGGATTTTGGGAACAGCGCAATTCTTATGAAAGGGCTATAAGGTCACAGTTACCGACGATTCCGGTTTCTTGGGGAAGTTTTATGTTTTGATCATCATTCCACTGGTAAAGTTCACGGAAGCGTGATGAAGTGATTCCTTCTCAGCTGTCGTTTCCATTCAGAGGGATCGAAATGCATAGGCTATAAAGCAAATTGATCGTGGATCTGATTTCGTCAACTTCCCATAGTCGCATTTCCGATTAAGCGAGATACAGTTCAGTTTCTCCCCGACGGGATCATACAGAAAGAGCGATTGACCCCCCAACCTGAATATGGTACTGCTCAGTTTAGGTTTTTTTTCACACTGATAAATGTGCGATACGCCCCCATGTGTTTATTCCAGATCGCTGTGCGCCATTTTTTGTGTTATTGTCAAAAATTCACGCACTTTCTTTTCTAGGAGGAACTGGCACAGCTCTATCTTACGGTTAATGGTTTGGAGGATACATTGCAACAGTACTATGCCATTGAGTCGCTCTTGGCTTCCGCAATACGCGCCGTTGCTTCACGAAGTGAGTTTTATCACCTCTGTGTTTTGCTTTATCTCGGTTATGGGGTTGTAACATTGTATTTTTGTAAAACCGACTGTTCTGGCTGAAATGGTTCTGATGTACAGTTCGGTTGTATCAAAACGAATAAATGGGCATAACAACAAACGTCCTAGACACTGATCACGATACCGAACACAAATAAAACAGCTCATTTGGGCACGGCAATGTTTTTCTGTTTACAGACAGCCATCATCATCGACAGAATGACGTGTTCAACACCGATGTTTCGCTGCCGTACGACCATGATTTATTTGAAAACCTTTTTGTGAAGAGAAGAATAAAATGGACGGGGGAAGTGTCTTAGTGCTAGCCTATCACAATTAGTCCGAGGTGCCTGCATCTCCAAACACTCATTCTGGAAATCTGGATTAAAACCGACAACAAGAACGCCATTGATATAGATTAGCAGACATATCTTTCAGCGTCTCCATCCAGGCGCAGTGGGGATCACGTGGTTCTCATCGTGGAAGGCGAGTATCACCGGTAGCACCCAAACGTTTCGTAATCTCCTTCACACTACGTCAAGGATTGGGTACTTCTCTGATTTCGTCACTCTGAGTTTGGTGCTTAAAATAGCACTCTCTTCGGGAAACGATGTTTCGGCATATGCAACAGAAGTCAAGTGAAGCACTCGTTGCACAACCGGAAACTCGCTTTCTAATTGCCTCACTACGGATAACCCGACAACGGCCCACACGAGCTATGATTCTGAGACAGAGATTGTCGGTCACCTGAAGACGATTCAGTTCTGCTGCTCGAACAGGCGAAGTCTCACAGCCATACAACAAAACAGCCTGCATTATAGCCTGATACACACGTCCCTTGGGATTCGAAGATTCACCAATTTGACGCCATTGGTGTCTCTAATTAGCAAACGCGATCTGAGCCTTGCAGCTTCGTACATTAACCTCATCTATCACACTAAAGTTAGATCTAATACAACTTCCAAGATACGTAGAACGCTGCACAACTTCTAGTGCCCCTCCCTGGATTGTAAGTGGCGTGTTCAGTGACTGCATGTCCAGGAACATGAGCTTACAACTGGGTGCATAGTTTTAACAGAGGACCGGGTGACTTCGTTCAGTTCATCTTCTTCGAAAATGAGATTGCTTTCATCTGTATACTCCATATCGACAAGGTTTTTGTCAGTGGCTATTCGAACGACGGGGTTTTGGAGACTTTCAAGCGTTCGCCTGGTGAATTAATCGGTCACGAAGTTAAACAGGAATGGGAGAGTAGGCACCGATGACAGACGCCATTTTGTGTCAGGAAGCTTTTGGAGAGCTTGCCGTATACAGGCAGCCACGCGAATACAAACGCCATAAATGTCAGGCGGATGCCCCATTTCCCGATATTGTGATCCGCCAAACTGATGTTGCATTTCCTGTTGTGTGTGTCTTGCCATCATGAATTCATCCCGCAAATGGATTCAATCCATTCTGAAACGTCAGCTGACGATAACAGATAGCTGGCTGGATGTGTAATCAACCTTCAGCCATGCGGTTCAAATTACGCGATGTGGTGTTCCCCGTCTCTTTGAATGATTGCTTATAAAGGAATGCTAGACTCGTGGAGTGTTTCACAGCAGGTTTTTTTAATCTTGCAATTACGTCCGGTGGTCACCAGACACTAAATCAGCAAAGCATTGTTGTAGGCCATGGGTCAATGGGCCAAATATGGCTGTCTCAGATTGGCTGGATTGAGCATGTAGAACAGCTTTTATGCATACTGAGAAGTTTTGAACAAGTGGTACTTTTTACTGCTGTAAGACTCACATTCCATCTACCCTTTTTTCTAGACGACGAGCAATTACCAGGCTGGGTGAAAAATCTCAAATCACACGGCGCTGATAAAGAATCCTGCTCCTTCTTGTGCTACTATCCCTGGGTCAAGTCCCGAATACATCCGCAACTGCTGGAACTCCTGCAAAACCGTTTCGCATCTGTTTTTGACATTCGGAACTATTTGCTGTCACGGGAATGCGGACTACTGAAAGCCTACAGTCGGGTACATGATATGCCTTCTCGAGCTCTTCTGCACATCCGTCACGGATTGGAAGAGTCCGAAATCTTGAATGTATGTTGTCTGTGATACCGGCATGCGTGGCTCACTCCTCATTGTTGTTAGCATTGTTACTCTTAGTATCATATGTAGTTGCATCACGCGAAAACCCTCAATCAAGGTAAAAGAGAACCTTGGTGGAGCTTGGTGCTGTTTCTTATGACCAGTTGAAATAGCCTACTAGGGAATAGGTTCTTGGGATGCAAGCAACGTTCTTTGTATCACTCGCCATTTTTTAGACGTGCTCATAACTCCTGACATACGATTTGAAAATAGCATGAGGTTGTGTTTGCCGACTTGAGGCGTACTCATGAGTTATCCAGCGGTCCGTGCCTTCATAAAATTGCCTGTACTGGTCTTTCTTGTAGGTAGTCTACCCGAACCAGCTCATCAAGGAAGTTTGCAGCACGCTTTCGTTCGGTATGCTCCCGTCTAAATTGATGGCTAAACCCACATCGGCATTCAATAGAGGATAGCCCGTGGCGGGGATGAGGAGTGATAAAGAGGACCACTGTGTCATTTAAGCGATTAAGATGAAGTTTTAGATAATGAGAGAGAGCAAAGAATCGAACATACTTAACTGGTTAGGTGATTAGGTGCATACTGGGATGTCACCTTTTCAGCTCTGTACTCCCTTTGGAAAGGAAAATTTTTGTATTTTTGCCGGAAATCTCGTTACAATAAATTGGCACTGTATGATACGCTCAAGGTATTGTTCCGGTTGAACCTGTCGCTGAATTTCGCCCAAACCGACTAGCAACTCCGTACCATAGACCTATAGGGTAACTAAACTCAAGAACGACGCGCAGTACCCAATCAATGGTGACTGAGGGTGTAAGGCGCGGGCGAACTTACGACGTTTTTTGCTGCTCCTTTCTAAGCTCGGGCAACCTGATAGCGTTTCAGTCTTCTTGATTTCTTCAGGCTCATTTGTAGCTGTGTATGGAGATGGTGACACGGCCAAAAACTCGTCACGTCATGCACTTAACTCTCATCCCAGTAGGGTTATTTTCTGTTAGATTTAGGAGTTTCAAGGAGCTTGCCAACTGGAGGAAAATTTAACGCGCCTAGATTGATCCAGTGCTTAATGATTACGTTAATTTTCGTTGTGTTTGCGTCTTAAGTACCACGTTCGGAGTTGCTTGAAGAGCTGAATGCCAGTTGTTCATAAATGCGTAATGAGTCGTTTGACAAACTGTGGCTTCTTATTTTTCTGCAACCACTGCAACTCATGGCTTTCAACTTATTCCACCAGACTGGATTTGATCATTAATTGACCTAACTAATCGGATAGCCTGACGTAAGCTCTCCACTCATTTGAGCGGTTGTGGGATTTGACTCACGCGATCAGGAATGGAGAAGTTGCAGCCTCGTACAACTTGCATGAAACACACAGTACAGTGCGTCAACCAGAGCGCGTTGGTTTTAGTTAGGAACAACTCCGACTTGAAGGTATTGGCGTACGCCAGTTCAGTATAGTCCTTGTTAAGGTAGAATACAAGGCTGAAATGAGGTAGCCCAAGTGTGAGGATACATTTGTTTTACTTCGAAGACATCGCACTGAAAAGTTATCATTGTTGATGCTTCTATTTAAGAATTTTCACCCTAGGTTGTTTAACATTTTCATCCACCTTGACTCTCATTCTCCCGGTAGCTTTACACTTCTTTGGAACTCAATCACCTTTGGGCATTTCTCTGCGCATTGAATTGTCTGAACGTCCTGCGTCCATCGACCGGTCCTGCTGCTGACGAAATTGCGGACTCTGTGGCGTCGGTGCTGTCCAATGCATTCAAACCATTTTCGACCAAAGGCAGTTCCTTGGCCCAGTCCCTGGAATCTGCAGATGGACTACTTAGAACACAAAGTAGCAATAACGCATTCCTTCGAGACATGTCCGAATTGAGTCCAGCTCTGGCTTCGCTGGCCGCGACTGTTCACTTTCTTTACAAATTTATCATTGTCAATGTGCCTACCCTGTCCGAGAAACCACAAGCCGTTATACCTCTTGGGGAACTACCACTTAGTGTTTCACACGCTGTGGATTTGTGGCTCATGGCATTCATCGAACTCACGCACATTGGTCGGGTTTTATCCCTTTGGACTGCCACGGATGAGGTGAATTCTTCGGACTCGATCATACAACTGATTAAAGTCAGTGTATTTCAATGCTTCGCATCCGACCTCACAGATCAAACTTTATTCGGACGTTCCGTGCACAAACAACTTGGCATGCTGCTTACCTCTCCGGCACTGTATGAAGAAGTTTATGTCGCAATGGCACAGACCTTAATTGGGTTCCTCCGACTAATCCACGAGCCTCGCAGGACCCCGTTCATCTGTTGCCTTCTGGCCGACTTTATGCGGTAAGTTTCAACCATATACCAACAAAACACTAGCTCTCCTAAGGCCTATATTGAGTATTTTCGTGGCACGAGATCATTCTTTACTTACAAGTTATCCAGGTATGATTACCAACATCGAACTATAACTTATTCCTCTGAAGGCAGTATCTCCAAATATTACTAGTTCCGGTGACTTCATGGGGTGCTGATCCACTTGGTCTTTTCGCTCAGCCTGGCAAACGTTTCGCCACAATGCGAGGCGACTTCTTCAGTGCGTGGTTGACGATGTTCCCTCGCACGGTGACGAAACATTTGCAGGCCGATTGTCAAACCCAGTGAACAAAAACTACCACGTGATCAACAGCAAAGTGATCTTTCGAAACCTGCTGTAACTTCCTGAAGAGACGGTGTGCCGACAATGGAAGATTTCAACGAAGATGCCAAAGTATCTTAATCGGAACCATCGGCTAGGAGCTGTCAAACTGTCTGCTTAGTTGCATTTGCACCGGGATGTGCTCTTGTTGTGCTTTAAAAAATGCTAAACTATAGATACATACTGGAATGAAGAGACGGGTAACGCTGGACCCGTTGGCCGTACTAAGTCCTCTCAAAATTACCTGACCATACGTCTTATCATACCACGGTTCTCCCGTTAAGCATTGCGACTTCGGATATCCTAGGGAGTGGAGTGGTTGATTTGCAACCTAGTTCTGTAAAGGCTGAAAAACCATATGCGTAGGTTACCCTGAACGCATCCACACCATTCGTCCAGTGACAGACCAGTCAATCAGTGCTATTCGTATGAAGATGGGTTGCTTGGTCCGACGAGATTTGAACCGGGTTCGTTTTCATTGAACCTCTATTTCTGCCTTGTCCTGCCAGTCAGTGTATACCTTGCAATTGCAATCCGCAAGACACGCCGAAGTTCATCCTGATTGACCTTTTTAATCCAACTTATTGTGCCAACCTATATTATTCGCCGAGAAAAGCACGTACAATTTTTCACTGTGTCAGAAAAACATGAGCAATACGTTTATGTCGGAACATTGCACCCTGGACCATCTAACAAGGTTGTCTTTCCAGGGTGTTTGCACTTGATTTTTTCATTCACTGACCGTTTCACATGGTAACATGCACTTGCTTCCATCGGATCAATAATCATTACTCTCGGATCTGACAGCAAAGGTCGCGTTGGTCTGGTGTCCTGCCATGACCTTGCTTAGAAGACGCGCTGCATAACTGGGTTGTAGTGATCACTTGGAACAAACGATTGATCAGTTGGGTCCCTGATTTAAAAGCACATTTTGCAATCTTGCCAGGCGTCGTCTCAGATCCACACACAAACGTGTCACCTACATTCACACATGCACAAAGTGTTATCTAACCTATGTATATTTTTCAATGAATAGTGTATTCTGCGCCGCACCATTGCGAATCAGGTCCATCTACTTTCCTGTTTACACCGTCGTGACGCGACTTTTAACAATCACTCCTCATTGTAGAACTAGACATATTTTCCCCCGGGCCATCGAACTGTACAGCATTGTTTTATCCATCTATCTTCGTGATGGATGGTCGCTCCTCACCGTACTTACCTGTCTCCTGTTGGCTTGCTGCCTGAGAACCTTCCTGGAAGATACTCGGGCTGAAAATACTTCGCCTGTTGGTTACCTTACACGGTAAGATACCGCCTACTTATTCATTGAGGCATTATAACCGACAGTACCAGTATTTTGATTATGTTTCTCACGTTTTCGTAAAGATATGATTCTATGATTGCCAGTCGGAAGCTCTCTGCTCAACCTCCGCTAAATGTGATTTCTTGTGATACGCGATCGTACATTTTCTCTGCCGAGTTGTAATTTACAGATGTAGATTGGTTGGACTAAATGGGTAGCTAGGGTTTTCTGAAGTTTTTCAGTCGGGATGCAGTCCTGCTTCATGTGTTTTTGGTACCTCAAGGGCAAATAGGACATCCCTCTGGGGACCGTCAGATTGCTCAGTACTTTCCTCACTGCATTGAGAGTGCATTGTCGTTCACTCTCACTTACCCACTAATATTTTCGCATGCAGCCTCTGCGGGTCACACCTAACTCACCTGTCCTCTCGTGAGCACAAGTCCCATCTGAATATGCTTGGTCAGTTTGACTAACGCTCACGTTGTTGAATCGGTGTCGCGATCTTATAGGGCTTGATTCTCAGGCACCTGGCTGGTACTAGACAGCGACTTAGATTCGGCATTCTTCAATCACAGGCCGCAATTTTCATCAGCTCCTGATGGTAACAGCCACACACTTGTTGTGTAAGCTGTCTTGTCTCCGGCGCGTGAGATTCTTTTTTAGTCAACTGATTGTTAACAATCCGCATACTGTATAGCACTAGGCTTATACCCACGTCACAATGTGCGGTTGGCACTAAGGTGCGGTTGCTCTTATTTCGCTATCCTAACGTTTCTGGGTCAGGTTTTTATCTTAGATAACCTCTTTGATAATATCTCCCTGTTAAGCTTTGTTTCAAACGTAGTTGATAATGCTATAGCACTTCGAAAAGGGCATCGCGAGGTAAAAGTTTTTTGCCTTTCTTTCCTCGTCAGAGTTTTTACACTAATTTATGGCCGGTGGGAAACGTCAATACAAAACCTGCGGAAGTGGCCTCTCATGGCATTACTTTCCAAGGGGTCATTGTAGTTACCAACGGATCACTTACTTTGTGGCTCCCTCACTTGAGAGCTCAAATATGAACGGCAGCTGCTCTTTTGCAGTTTCGCACGACCCATTCTACGTTTTTAGCAAATCAGTCATTCCTCGTACATTCCCACGTGGAAAACAGCATTTTCCACAACACTCCAGCGGGGTTTCTGTTAGAAAAACTGGAATAAACATTTCTCATGTCACTAACAGACGGCATACGGAGTAAACATAGACACGTCTTGGGCGAGGACCATGGGCAGTGGACATTTCTCTATGGCACCATTTCAAGTTATTTCGAGTGGACGATGGGTGAATTATTATTAAGTGGTGTTGCTAGTTGCCCGAGTCATTCGAAATGAAGGCATTTCTTGACTTCCAGATCGTTCGATTCAAGTTAAACTAAAGCGGAAATACATTCCTTCTACGGTCTTGACTTCTGGAGACTATTTAGCTTTCCCCCGATAACATGAAACTCTTTTTGTAGCTTATAGGCCTAATACCACACACTTGCCCTTTTTGAATATATTACAATACGTGTTATCAAGTCACGATAATTCGCGATGATACCCACATTCCAGATTTTCCACGCCACAAAACCCTATTCTCTGATCGCCTCGATAATGCACACCGTCGGAAAGTCTTTCCGTGTCGGTTGATACCTATATCTGTTTCCGTGTGTATATTTCTCTTGTTTTCAGCTACTCTGACTGCTGTCTGTTGCTCAGTTGTGCCACGACGACAGAACTTCAGTTGGCCAATGGCTGTTTGACCCATTCAGCACCGAAATCAGCCAAGGGTCTTGAACTCAGTCTGACGAAACTATCTGTTCCAACCGAGGACCTGTTGTTGTCGGACTTTTGGTGGTTCGAAGCTGTCAAATCCTGTCAGCAACTGACTGACGACACCGTGTTTGATGCCTCATGTTCTTTATCGTCTCCTTTTTCTATCGATTTCGTTGAGTTAGATGGTGCTAGCAACAATGGTTATCAGCTCATCACGATAGGACTCCATGTAACTGCGGATGTTCATTTCAAAGTTAGGTACGTTTACGACAATTTTCTCTGATTGTTCTCTTACATCCGGAACACTCTTGACTCATGCTAGGTTTCTAGAACAGGACGGTGCGCTAATGATACACCTACAAGATTGAGGATGCAACGCTAATGCACTACGTAAGCGAGGTACGGAGGGAAGTCTCAGTGCTGTCCGGTATGGTGAACTTTTAATGAGACAAGCGATATTGTTAATACCAAATCCTACTATGGCTCTAGTATGTATGTTAGCAAGTGTGTTGTACTCAGACGCTCTCGCTGTGTGAAGTTCCATCTAACGGGCTAATTCAGGGGTGTCGTCCGTCACCGGTCACATGTACCGTCAGCTCTCCTATGAAGAGGGACAATACTATGCAATATACTATACTTACATCACTCAGCTAGAAACCTATTGTAGTAAGAAGGAAACTTGACAACAGGGTATCAGAATAGTGAGGCATAATATGCAAAATCACCGAACAAACTACACTTACTTTGATCCACCTTTTATATGATTTAAGCGGTGCAGTCCTACGTCTACTGATGAATCATTGATAACAAGTCACTGAAGTTGAACTTGCATCGGATCGTGAAATCTGTAGCAGTTATCTATTTCTCAGGTAAACCGACAGGAAACTAAACAATCAGTAGTGAGCATTTCTGACACAATAGTTCATAGACACAGACAAGAAAAGTGTTTCATCATGGTAGTAATTGCACGACTAGGTAGGTCAGAAAACGCAGGGAGCGAAAGAAGCTAATGGTCTTCAGGATTTAACCAATTGACCATTTTGCCGAGTAAATCTCCAGAAAATGACAAGCTTCTGCCTCTAGTAATGAGATAGCGCTTCCCTGTGTGCAAAGTGTAGACTGTAGCTTGATTTTGGTACCAGAAAAACAGATTATTAGCACTACCGATAAAAATGTCTACATACATATAGAGTATAACTACACTCAACTGTTACATTTTCCTACCAAGAGGACCGGTCTAATTTCATCATTTGAAATCGCAGGGTAAGGCGCCTCGGAGTTGAAGCAAACTATTCCTGTGATTTTATGTTATGGTACTGGACGCGATTGTCCGTCAGATTCGGACAACAATGGTTGTTACTGCCGGTATCACTGTGTAGTAAGTGCGAATTTCTTTTGTAAATCCCAGAGCTTCGTCATTTCTCAGTATTGCGACGAAGACGTGCAACAATTTGTGTTACCGTTCTTACGTTCTGATAAAACTATCTCACACACATGGATTTATGTGTGCTTGCTAGCATTTGAAGTCGATGTAACCACGCGGCGGGCTGGGGCTACTGATGTTATGTTTCTAGTGCACACAACGGAGAGTATATTCTAGGTGCGCAATGCTCAAAAGTGGTCCGTCACAGCCAGATACGCTTGCATCCGTTGTTGGACACGTTGCCATAATAATTCTGTATTGCGGAAACGTGCGTTCCCGGTTTCGGTGTCATGGAGCTGCTCCTGGAAACTTCCGGGATGTCTTACTGTCACTGTATGTACTACATAGGACATTGCTGAAGGCCTTGATCGATCACTCTGTTAAAGCACTTAACGGATTCACCAAATCGTTTCCGTTTTTCATTCATTTTCAAACTAGATCTATTGCATCCCCACCTGAGAAGCATTCCCATACTTAGTGCTCAGCAATGTTCATCCTACAAACTGTCAGATGCACGCATACAGAACACCGGAAAATGTATTCCAGGATCGTATATCTGGCCAGCATAAAGTATATAAGCAAGTTGTCCGACTGTGGTTTGATACTGTCAGTTCAACGTAAATTCAGGTTAACCATGAGATAGATCAAGCTACGATTCACTGGAAGCTCTGCGCTCTCTCGCTCACGAATGTTCGACCCTCGTTTCATACTTCTCATCTCTCAGTTGATGAAGATGATCAAACACAACCTCGTTCCGGAAGGGATTGGTAAACAATCAGTAATTTTTAACTGGGCAACATTTCGCTTTTGACACAAAGGCTTCATCAGACAAACTGAACACGTCACCCAGATGGACAGGTTTCAGGGCAGACAGAACCAATCAGGACATCTTAAGATCAGAGCAGTGGTTCGAACCCGACCCCTGGCTCTCGACTTCCCTTCTTTAGCCTTGGACAACCTGGCAATATCCTAGCCCTCGTGCTTCTGGTGGCATGGCAGTTAGGCACCTAAAGAGTGCTAAAGCTGGACGAATGCATCCGCGGATCGACTAATTTCTCAGCTGTGCACCCAGCTGACCGTATTGTTTGATATACTATGTTACTCTGTTGTGCATATGAAAAACATTTGTGTATTGCCAAAGTTTTCATAGGCTTCCAGAGTTTTTGGAGCGAAATTCAAGACCATTGAGTTCATCTAGTCGAAGAGGTAGCAGAAGTCGGCTATTGGTTATACTGTTGGGATCCAGTTTTTGAAGGGCGCCACTGTGCTCATCACGTACCACGAGGAGGATCAAGCTGACTCCTGAGGAACAGGAACAACTGAAATGACCGTTCGAGTGATGCAGGTGTTGAAGGAGAAGGCGCTCTCGACGGTTTCTACCGTGCATCTCTATTTCACGGACACTTTACAGTATTGTACTGTATATTATCTACTGGGCTGCCTTGATAAGTTCGCGAAGCAAACAAACACATGCCGACTTCTATCATTCTTGAAATATCTCGCAAATCTGTACGTATTGTTTTACACACACATGCTTCACAAGAACTGTTATGCCTAACAAAAGCTATCACTAACAATAACCGTATCGAAAGAATACGTTACCGTGAATGGAAAGGATGCCGTTTGTTTTCATTTTTGACCATGTCTTTCGACTTTGGACATTGCCCATTCTCCATCTTTTCGGCCAAAACCACGAAGCCGAGACGACCCGACAAGCAGCCGTCTAGGTTATATCGTCATCACTAATCACAGCAACACTTTGCTGCTAACACTAGTGCCCAACTGTCGTACAAACCCGCCAGTTTATTTGACTCTAGCCCCATAATGAAGAGAAGTTGGAAGGTGATCAAACTCTTGGCAAACTCATCGTCACATGGTAGCAGTAGCGACAGTGTCGTTTCGACATAGTTCATTAATAAATGATCCGTTAATTACTGATATTTAATCTATCACTCCTCTATTGGTTCCTTCTGTTCTTCCATGTCGTTTCTTACAGCGTACATGTGGGTGGTACAAAACCCGAAGCAAAAGATTGGGAGACGGTCATGCGTTATGGTGTCGTTAGGGAGCAATGGCCCCCTCAATTCAGCTCGAATCTACCCAAAGCCGATTCACAAACCGCAGAATTGCGTTCAAGCACCCCACCTACTGGTGTTGTCAAATCTGCGAGTGGATCTCCAGTTCTCACATCTAAGTTCACACATTCGCGTTCGTTTGCTCATCTTTTCCGTAAGGATGCAACCTCCATATACCATAGCACGGAGTCTGTTGGAAGGGTGCAAACGGGTAGTGTAGCATCTGAGACTCGTGGTATTCCACGTAAGATATCCTTGTTGGACACAGTGGCCTCGTTAGCCAGTCGTTCTGCGTGGGTCTCACAAGAGGGTATGCACGTGGTTCGATTATCCAGGACTTCCTCGTTTGACGGTTCCGTGGGACAATCTACACAGGAACAAGGTAAATTCAGGGCTTCTGTTTCTATTGTTCGGCCAAATCACCAGTAAATTGCTCGTGACAAGCACCATATGCGCCTTTCCTACGGTAGCAAGACGTGTACACACACTTCATCCAAAAGTGTCAAATTGACAATCGACTTAATATGGTAGATTTTACTTTAATCCGAATGTACTCCTTGTGCAAAGTACCAGTGTGCTCTCCTCTTTTCGTAAGTGAATATCCCAATTAATATCAACACAGAGTTATAACGGTACAAAGGTATGATTAGGCCAGATCAGCTGGGCATCGGTGAAGAAGGAAAACCTGAGCTGTCAAATCAACTGGACCTGGGCTACGTGATCCGGAGATGGTGTGACTGATCGGGGATTCTGAATCGTAACCACTACGGTTGGAGGGTGTTCGATCGAGTGGACTTTTTTGATGGATCGGAAATGCTGTCTTAGCGCATTTTTCACATGGTTCTCACCATGATCATTTGCAAACATCTTCAGTAATTACCGTCGTTCCTGTTTCTGGATGGAAAACACAACGCACTTCCATTTAACCAGACCTTATAGTCCTAATCACCATTTTTTCATCACTCCACCTGAGGCTACACGTGGTTAGTTTCAACTTCCCACACTGTCAATGTGTCGAAATATAGCTAGCTCTGGTGTGTTTACTGGTGGTTGAGCAAGTCACTTGCCATGCTCGGCAAACAGTTCAACTACCATCTGATCAGCCACCAACTTCGAGCTTATCGAGCTTATCGCCAACTACAAACTCATTTGCATACCAATTGGTTTTTTACAGAAGATTCACCTGAATCCCAAAGCCTGTCTTGTATGATATTCTTAAACTTTTTGTGCTGCACAAAGGCCGCCTTAAGTTTCACTCGGCAAGATATGTTTTCATGAAGAGAGATATTCATCAGGTTGGCGGAAACTCTTCAATAGCCCACGATCGGTTTTGGACCTTGTTGGGGTCCTCTAAGTATATCAAGACCCTGGTTTCCCGTTAGCCTTATGTTTTACTTGAACCCAGATTGCACAGAATTCGCTAAATAAATTTATCTGCATATCGATTTGAAGAATATTGTGAGCGAAGAGTTCAGCTGGAATTCCGATGAGTCTCTTGTTGAAACCAATTTGGTAAACAAATAATTCTATTTATCGAATCACGTGCAATGTGGTTTCAAGTAGAACATAAGGTTGACACAAACTCGGGTATTGCGCTCACCTGATGTATCCCAAGAAGAGCGAAACCGGTCTTGACTGCCGAAAGGTAATGAAAAGGAATGAAAATGTCTTTTAATTTTTTACTTCGCAGTTGTTTGGTTGGTCTAGATTCTTGACCTCGGCATTGTCTCAGTAGTGCCGCATGCACAAACCAGGTACTTTAACTTTGCATGTATAACCAATTGTGCTTGCTGTTCATTATGATCTCTTTGTTCTGTTCAGTACTCCACGTGGGTGTCGACGATGCTCTGACGAAACTTCGTCGCGAGGCACAACCTTCACACCGGCTGGCCTCATTCCAAATCGGACATGGTTTGTGGCCGCCATCGACTCTGGCTGAAGAAGAAGACCGCTGCCACTCCACAGAGGAACCAGCTGTCGATTGTTCCACACTCGAGAGTGAATCTGATGCGTGTTTTCTTAGACCACTGGCGGCAACTTCTATCTCACCTTTTGATGTGTCGTTTTCAACAGTTCAAAATGCGGACGATTCACCCCTTGTACTGCTTCAGCCTGGACTCAACAAAATTCAACTTAAAGCTAATGTGAGAAGGAAGCAAAATTTTTTCATTGTACTACCATGCAACTACCACAGAAGCACGCATTATGAGTGGTCAATCTGGTTAACGGGTGTCTTTGGATGGTAGTTGGTTTATGGTTCTTTCTTCACTAGATTAGTTACCGCCGTCCATTTAAACGGCGGTTTTGCTTCTCATCTGAGCTATTTCGACAAGTCAAATAGCAGCAATTGAAGGCGATCGGAAACCTGGACCGTCTAAACACGCTCATGACTTATTGATCCCTACTGTTTGATGATGGTTGACCTGCTAGTAGGGCCACTCATTGAGTACTATGTGTACTCCGGCTTAGCACCAAGGAAATGCCAACTTGAGTAATATGTTTGGGCTTGGTGATGTCGACAGACTGAACTGCAGCGTTCTCGTTTAGCATAAGTATTGAGCAAAAGTTGTAGAAAATGACTTGATGTCTCTGGGAACACTACCTTCTTTACATCATCTATGTGTTCGCAGTGTTCGTGGATTCCCTAATTTTATGCTAGTCCTGGGGCGAAAAGTACGGTTGATTAGAGTCAGTGACAATTTACTCTGATTCAAACTTTGACCAGTGGAAGTTTGTACTTCCCTTGCTTCATTGTAGCCCTATGAACTCCTAAGTCAGGCGAGTATTCACCTTGGTTTGTGGAAGGAAGATATTTTTTACGCCATCCCATTTTGAAAACTCATCCCGTTTACCGTTCTCTTCCAGTGTCGCGGTTTCTTTCTTCCAAAGAAGCTGTTTCTGACTATTGTGGACCGGGAGCGAACAAGGGATCCTAAGGAACCAGCTACCTCGTCGCCCAGTTTCTTAAACGCAAATGGTTCATTCAAAATGTGCTACGATATTCGTGCCTCTGACTTTTCTGTCACGTGGACCGATCAACAATTGTTAGATTACCTGTTGCCCACAGTCTGTGTGTCTTCGGCATTCTGTGATAAAACTTGCACAATTTCCGGTGAGGATACGTGTAAAGTTCTTTTCCTACACGTAACCACTTCTTATCTACTGAGTTACTAAGAATCTATACTGCTTTTGTGCTCGCTACCTGGGACACATTATGACAGGAAATTGGCGATACATATTGCAGCGCTACAGGAAAATTGGTTACCATTCGTAAGCCTCGTGGCTTTTGTTCTTTGCAACTTCTGTGTCCTTGTAGAGGTGTTCAAAATACTAACCAACCCTGTTGGTTTTGCGGAGTAACTGGTGACGATGAAAGGGGAAAACACACCGAGACTACTATGTGTTTTCGGACTTGGTCATTTCGTGACTCCTAGTGTTTTATATACAGTTTTTGGCGATCGTTCGTCAGGGAGCACAGTCGTTACCGCATACTAATATCTTTCAAGATAGTGTCCTTTCGCAGTCTACTACGGGCCTTGACGCTTATACAATATTTTCCTTGTACTCTGATTTGGAGAAGCTGATATAAATAGGTCACGTGAGATAGTTTAGGAGAACTACTGGCCTATATGTTGTGAATAACTTGCACACTCATGTGGTCATTCTAGAGAGAGGTCGTTAGTTGAAGGATCTTTCGAGGAGGTTAGTAGTGTGGTTCAGAATACTACTGTAGGTAACTGTGTTGGGTTCCCGTTTACTTTTCAACCGGCATTGTATCACTTTTAAGTGGTGCAATCTTTGTGTTATTCAATATCTTAACAGACGCACATTCATTACGTTCAATTTAAGTTCGGAATAGCTATATGCAACACCATGATTGATTTTGCTTCACACTGGTCCCGTCTTTTGTCGTGCTCCTTAGAGAAACGATAAGGTCTGCAGTGGATATAGCTAATTACGATAGTGGGATAGCTCAATTCTACCGGATTTGTCAACAAATTAGGTACTGCACCTTTTTCGGATACTTGGTAAGGCTTGAGGACCACATAAATCTCCCCAATTTCATGCGTGAAAAATCGGTTAGTTAGACTTAAATGTCATCACCATTCGCGCTTACGTCGTTCGAAATAGTGAATAGAGATTCAGGTTACTACTACGTTCAAACAAGCTGTGTTAATCAAAACCCCGTCAGCTTAGTTAATTCACATCCGTGTTAGCACACGAAGTATGAATTTTTCGCATACAAGTCTGTTTTATGGTCACCATCAAACCATTGGTAACAGCCACTCACTCGGCTGTTCAGCGGGCATCGGTTGAGCGTTTTTAGGGCTCATTGAACTCAAAGTAGCTGCCTTTATTAGACTGCTGCCTTGGCTTTTCGATTCTTTCAGTCCAGGTCAGACCCACGTAGGCAGTATCTCTGTCTTCATGTTTTCCGTAAGTGACATGGTGTTTCGGAATCGACAGAATGCCACGGTCGAACGGTCTGATTTTGTGAATGTTCTCAGCTCGTCCCAACCTGATTTCATCGTGTTTATACTGGAATTGCATTCGTTCCCGGTTTCGACAAGCGCCAATTTAGGCTGAGGACAACATGATTTTCGTCCTACCTGTGTTGATTGTAATTTCAGTGGTACGTACCATGTTATCAAACAAGTGACAATACCACTACCAATCCACATTAGTCTGCTTTCCATTTCGCTATTCTCCTTTCCTTCCGTTTTCAATCGAGACAGCGCAGATATCCGGTGAGGAGTGACTTTTCACCATGACATTTGCTGTTCCTAAGTCGCTCTTCTATTGTCATGAGCAACCTAGCGATATTCCCGTTTTCATAGATTTCCAGAAGACCCAAAACGAAATGGTATGATCACTGTCTTCTTTGTAGAACGTTTTTGTATAACATTAAGGCTGGTAACCAATTTCAATTTGATCGGGAACCTGGTGTTTTCTCTATTTACCCTCGCTGCAGTTATTTTAGGTCTGAGACAAACTGTTCCTATCGTCCTTCAACCTGGAAAACTTGGTTTACCTACCAACAGCACTACAGGCGTCACTCTCTACCGACTACTTCCGAACATTTACCAAAATAACTTATCTTCCCAGGCCAAGGTTAAACTGGGACCAAGTGACTATATAGTCACATCACCAACAAAACAAAAGCCCGATTCGGATGGCCAGCAACCACTCCCATATCCCTATGACTATCAGGACGGTCCTGTTTCCGTTGAATTTTCTCAGACTGATTGCGAAAACACTGATTCACCACCTTCAGCAAAATTATCAAGGCCCCTGTGGCTGACTCCGATCACAGATTCGGATGAAGTATGTTTTTTTGATTTTCTTGTTATCTAAATACCCATACATAATTAATCCCCTTAGAAACACGAGCACGGGTTTTAGTTGAACCGTCACGTCTCAATCCAAGATCACTTGAATACCTCAGCTTTGAATATCGCAATCGTTAGCTAGTCTCGCATGATTCTTCAGAATTTTACCAATGTTAACAAGTTTTTAGAAGTTATCACAATTCGCACTGAGGTATGACACATAAATCTCCCACCTGGAACCCGGTAACGATGTTTTCCCTCTCTGATACCAAATCAACCGCCGTACATCTGTATTCGCCTTTACCCATCAAACTTTGGAATTAACAGTCTCGAAATGAGCCTTTTCCAACCGTTGCAACCGACGCGCAGCAAGACTATTGAAAACTGCAGATACATCGAAGTTCTCATTCTGCTTAGCGGTCAGGCTGTGGATGCTTCAGCAGTAACAAGTAGGAATTCAATTTCCGTTTCCTAAAAGAATACTAAATTTTCCAATGAAAACGCCTCCATCAAATGTGAAATATTCTTATCCATTAGACAAAGGTGGCTTACTGAGTGCCTCCTGGAAGGCCTTGTCGTTTGACTTCAGGGCCTAAGGCAATGATGGTTAATTTTAGAGCACCATACAACGCAAATAAATGATAGATGGCTCTGCTTATCCGCCTTTTACGGCTTGGTTCAAGTTATCATTAAGATTTTCTGGGGAGAATCTATATCAGTTATGTGTCCAACACCGCAAATGTGCGTCTGTGTGAAGAACTGGACCAGGAATGATCTAACTTGCGGGTGAAGCGTTGTTCATGAAGGAGGATGGAGTCGGTTAGGGGTTACTCCAGCTGTCGCAGTGCTGCACGGGACTGCGGTGATTGCGAGGCGTGCTGTGGACGATGCGCAACCTCCGAGTGGCTGTGGCCGTGTGCGACACATGCTAAGCAATTGGATCAACCAGTGTTTTGTAGGTTTCATATGCCAGCCAGTTTGGACTGGATTACCTTATTCGTTGGTTAACTCGCTTAGTCGTGCGTACATAGTATTCCACTGTACAACAGCAACACAAGGAACCTGGACATGCTGTCTGCAATGCACCATTAGTCTGGGCCGAGAAAAATGTCACCCGGTGTGTTCTGTGTGGTCATTCTCGCCTATAAATTTTCTTCCTACCCTAACGAATGATGAAGTGATGTCAGGAGGTTGGTCCGCCGATTGCTGTTTGATAACTAAACTGCGGTTCGTGTTTTGAAAAGTATCGTTTCAATACGTCATATCACTCATTGCTAATCGCTGACTGGTCCATATATCTTTGTATACTTATCTCTGCAGTTCTTCTTGGCAATGCCGTCCGGATACTTGTGTCGACTTCCCGTCAAGGTCATTCGCCCGTTTGTGATCATGCTCAATATCTACACAATACATCCATCCGAGTGAGTTTTTATCTCTGTTTACAGTTGATTCATTCAGTCTATATTTATTCACTAACAAAAGACTAGTTTCACAACACCTAACGATCCACTATAATGGGTGTAAAGGTAATGGTTTCGGTAATTCGTCGGTAGTCATCGTTAACAATTTTTCGGTTGGTGACTCCGAGTTTGAAAACCTTCATTTCATTCGCGAAAACTCTGGTTTTATGGTTATTAACCTTACTTTTTCCTGTTATCCCTTACTGCAACTGTCCATTCTTAACTTTCTGTGGTGAGATCTTCATAGACGGAGTCGCATTCCTGTTTCCGAAGTCTAGGAGCCTCAACTAGAGACTAAGATAATCGAAGGCAATTTAGCAATAATTGATTTCCTCAGCGACGATGTCCATCCTGAATCAGGCCTGGGTTGAGAACTTTTTTACTAATTTGTTATCGCCTGAACAAGTGCCTCTCGGAGAGTACCACGGAATTGCCTCCCTTTTCGCTGTAAGGTAGCTCGCTTCTCTTCAGTCTTCATAGCGTGTTCTAAGCTGGGGATACGAACATTCAGGCATGAGCGTGGCAGTTTTCAAGCCTAACCCCAGCCTTCACGTGGCAACTATGTTACAGATGCAACTACAGGATGAGTAGGTGCGTGTTTCCAGGACAGGCAGCCACCTTCGATCATACCTACTCGACAGTGAAAAGCGAGGCAGCTTGTTATGAGTTTAGCGTGACACTATCATGACTCTACTTCATCAAGTTTTCCTTGTTTTTAAGGTGGTGTTATATCTTCCGCTTTTTGCTAATTTTTTAGCACCGTGGTATTCGCCATACGGATCGCCTGCAAAGACATTCCAGAACAGCGACACTCAGCAAAGCGACCTCTCAAGCCTACACCAGACAAGCCTCTGACTTTTTTATTATCACAGTTCCAGTTTATGATAACTGCTCCGACAGCACAAGACAACTTCAGCGCACCGTCTTCCCGGAAGGGTTCGACACTAGAAACACCTGTGTTCTCGGTTCCAACGTCTTTGGTATCCAGTCGCAAAGGCTCTATTCTACATATGAATGTTGCTGAAACTCAAGTACCGGGTCTCTCCGATTGCATGTTCGCTAACCCAGTGGATCCGCGCTGCACACATATCGTATGTGATCCATGTGTATTTCAGGCACCACGGAACGCGTAACTGTCTCAATTTCTGTTCTTACAATTCGCTGTCGCTTCACACAAAACAAATAGGTCTATCAACTCCAATGTATGGGTGTTGTCTTTCTACTTCCCCCATCGTTGATGACTAGAGCTAGGACGAACTAGAATCACCATATTAGGAACCAACGCTTCGAAGACTGTTTTGGTTGAAACATACGCTTGCTTAATCACCACACTTCTAAGAAAGCTTCGTATTCCTTGTTGGCAAATCTTTTGTCAGGGACACGCCTTGAGTTAGCAGCCACTTTCAAACTGGAATGGCGCCTTCGCAACTAGAATCCATGTGATCCTCCTTGCGTGTAACCAGAGGTCCTACGTGGCACGATACGTGGCCGCTCCCAGTAGCTCACATGCGTGTTAATCAGATGTGCTTACTTCAACATTATTAGAATAATTTGCCTACTTGTTCTTGGTTGTCTCCCTTCTGTCTTTCCGTTGTCTGGCATAGCGTTTTCTTCATAGTTATATGGTAGATAAGTGCCATAATGTGACTTATTGAGGTCGACAGTGATGATCCCGGAACATAGCAGACCTAATTTACACCATTGACTTCAAAACTGCACTTATTGTGGCAGTTCGGTTGGATAACACCATGTTCGGTCACTTCAGATTGCCACTGGGTTAGGAGGTAGGAGTGGTAAAGAAATTCAGTAACAATCCCATGGTTATTCTACTTCGTTTAGTCACTGCCAACCTGTGTGAAGTTATATTCCTGGTGAAAATACACCCGATGTTTGTATTCTTGAAGAATCTGTCAATAGTGGTCGAGCTAACTGTTGCATAAATTAGCCTTAGATGTCAGCGTTTTGTTTGTGATGAGAAGGTAAATGTTTATGGTTGCACACTTGACAGATAGTCCAAACCGAACATTCTTCAAAAACAGTAGCCAGTTGGATTGGGACACTCTTGATCTGAGGACGGTAGGAAAGTAGTGTATGTGACTGGTGTGACTAGTGGATGGATTCTCAGTCTGGTAGTCGAATCTTGCGCACAAATTTATGCTAAATTCTCAATCAGATGGAAAACGGAAATAATAGTATAAGAGATAACAGTCTCAAAGTGGCAGATATCAAGTGTCAGTGACCCCCTGGGTAATCTGGTCAGATTGTATTTGGACTTCCGATTTCCCAGAAGCGCCGTACCTACGCACACGGTTTATGGTCGAAAAACTCAGATAAACTGATTTTCGATTAACCTTTTCAACTTCATGAGTAGTTCTCTCATTGACGCCTATAACCCACTCAGTCATTATATCAACCAGTGCCCTGCGAGACCCCCGCTTTTTGCCCTCAGTCCGTGATAATTTGTAATACCAGATTCCAGTCCTATACCTAATTCCCTATGGGTGCAGACGCATGTTTTTAAACTTACTGGTTGTATGCTCCGTCTTCGTTTTCACCATACACAGGAAGTAAATCGACTTTGTCCGGTGAATTTGCTGTTTCGCGTCAAGTTCAGCGAGTTCCGTCCATTTGTGAAGTCACTTTTGAAACGCTTTGGTCATTCCCCAGTGGCGCGATTCTCCTGCGCATTCAGCTTCGCCGATGATCCTGATTACGAAGCACAGCTAACGTTCAGTCGGGCAATCTCGGTATGTCTCCTCTGTTGCCATCCGCTTGCTGTGCATCCGACTGGTGTTTATCGCACCATTATTCACTTATATCATTCATGGTTTCATCCAGCTGCACTGTGACGGGCTGGTTTCCTGTTTGTTCCGAGTCGTTGCTGCGGATGCACGTCTATCGTGGAGGTTGATACAGTGTTATGCCGTTTGATTTCTACCCACTCTTGCCATCAGTCATTTTACTGGGAGCGATATTCACTGTAGATTCTAGGTCAATTGACTGGGTAATGTAGGGAATGCATCCAGCGGTACCTTAATGATCATTATCTTCGATCTTTATTTCGCCTCAACGAGCATTGTTACCCGTGCTGGTGTGTCCACTCTCCGACCGTGGTTTCAACTCTCATTTTATCAGGACACCTGACAGCGTATCGTTCACGTGGGCTTCTCCGCTTAGCAGTTTCAAAACCGAATGCCGTGGACTGGCGTTCCGACCGCAAACAGATCGCGGGGAGAGATCATATCAGTATGTGCTGATCAAGGGTCTCGATGATATATTGGAACGCGCAAAGCGGCGAAATTAAGTTGATCCCTTCCAAGAAGAAATCTGTTTTGTCTAAGCTACTGAAACCCCATTAGTATTATCACAGTTTCGCAGTTGCCTCAACTTCACTCAGTAGCTTGTTCCAGCTTCTCAGAGATTAGGACTCTCATACTAATGACGAATCCTATATCACGTGAATTCCTCAACTGCATCCCACATGTACTTTGTGCAAGATACAGCCAATCCACAGAATGATCACGATCACCGATCTACAGTAGCATTCCTCATTCCATCCACCATGGTAAATCTATAGCAGTTTCTCACTAGCGCAACTTAATAGGAGCTTGATCACTTCCTTTGGAACACGATTTTACTTGTTTTCCCTATATTGAAACCGGAGGGTGGCATTCTCCTCGCTTCAGCCGTTTCATCCGGAAATTCGGGCCACTTCAAACTTCCTGGTGAAACTGAGCGTATGCGTGCTTTCCTCTAGGTTTGGTGGCGTCCTTTCGAAGATAACTGTACCGGAAAAGGGCCGGCCACACATGTAATATACATTCAGTTGGGTTACATTGGCTTCCAGTACGGGCAGGCAATCCAAACCAACCAGCCGGTTGCACTTTCTGGGGTATTCTGATTTTTGCTACAATTTTACAGCTCTCTGCATCCACTCTTCTTGGATGCCTGGTCTGTTTTATGAAGTTTTACTCATCCGTACCCAGCGAAGCCATGGACGGCTGCTTAACCGCAACTGGGGCTTGAGTTCAGATCACCGCGCAACTAATTTTTGTGACTACGAACCAAAACATTTAAGCCATACTACACCAGTCAAGTTTTTTCTACAGGATGAGTGTTTTCATCGCGCGTAGCCATCACTGTACTGCCGATTACATTCACACCCCAGTGAATTGCGGTACAACGTATCCATTAAGAATTCTGTGTGTCACCGCTTGATTGCACGCCACATTCCGTCACACACCAGCTTGAGTCGCGTTCGACCGTCTACATTTTATCGATACCTTGTGCTTACAACTACCTAACGGTTACCCCTGATCCTTTCAGCCTGTACGTCAGCGTGTCCCCGAAAAACTCAAGCCTGCGTGAATAATCCGGAACAGCACGCGGACCAGTAACCAAAACTTACCATATCAGCTCGATCGGCTACTCTAACCACACATTCCATTTCTTAATTTTCTGATGAAGTTTTTGCGTCTTTGATGCTCCTGTCTTCTGTGATCATCTATGTTTGCTCACCGCTTGTCTTTTGCCAAAAAACGATCAACTTCGTTTACGAGCTACCTGTTTTTCCGAGTAAATATGATGTTCGTGAAACCGAATCTCCCTGAAATAATGATTCTAGGCTGTGGGGTAACCAGTTCAGGTCGCAAAAGGTCTGGAATCCTCATAGTCTACACTCAGCTCGTGTACTCCTTCATTAGCATCTTACATTAGTAAACAATGCATAATTTCCTGGTGGGTTCAGTTTCGTTGGACAATCATGAGCCGTGTATATTTGTACGGTGGTTCGAGTTGCCGCAGTTTCTGGTAACGGACAGTGTAATACAGGAGCCCAGAAAAAAGAAAAGACAAAAGGCGCGGTGGGTTAATTATTAAGAGTAGGGGAACAGATACGATACCACCACCGGTTGCGTGACTTAGACATGTTGGTGAGGGTCTCTAACCATTGATTTGGTAGTCAGACATGTCAGAACCACACTGTGAGCACCTACGTCTGACTGATCTGTCAGACACTATTCATGAAGCAGTTGTCATACTACTTCTCCAATCTAGAAGCCTGGCCACCGAACACTAACCCAGGCATCTATACCCACCACTACTCTTACGGACCCTGAACACGAATTAAACGCTGTTGAAGAGAGAATCCGATTTTGAAGTAGAATTGAAACATCCATGACAGCTGAGTAGAGTAGATACAAAGAACTATGGATTATATATTATGAATGTGAATTTGGCGTATCAAGTCTCCTAAATACATCAGCTGCAAAATAAAAGAGGAATCGAGTAAAAAAATCAATTAAAAAAGTTATGTCGCTTTGCATGATTGTCTATATCCACTACAGGCTGGGTTTTCTTGACAATGCAACCATACCTCATAGTTGGTCGCACACGTCCAAAATGTACGTAGTATTCTGCGTGTAAGCCGGACCACCAGAATGAAGAAACCGGGCCGGAAAATTAGGTTGGTTGCAGGCATTGGGCCAGCCTTGTACTTCTAAGGCTAACCCTGAGCTCGCCTCATAGGGAAGACCATGCTTCCCAACAGGGTCAATTTTCGGATCCAGATAGTGGCCTGTGTAAAACTGAGCTCCGGGTTGATCTGTGTGGACACGCAGGCGGATTCCGGATGGTGCATAAAATACAGCGGCACGGGGTTTGTTGATGGTAGTTTCGTTGAAAACGTAGTAAAGGTCGTAGCCAGGATTGTTCCTGTCACCAAGGGTGTTTATTCCTGAGAAGACGGGGCGGAAATTTCGTAAATCTTGTGGAGTACCCTTTTCCACAGAGATAAGACGACCAGTAGGGATGAGCTCAACCGGTTCCAGCTCAACATACTTCTCGGCGTCAATAAAAACTTCGTGTTTGGCCAAACATGACGGACCTGATGAGTGGCCAGCTAGGTTCCATAGAGTGTGGTTTGTAAGATTAATCGGACAGGCAGTCTGAGGCACCGGAACCAAACTGGCATGATACTCAATCCGGAGTTCGACTGTCTGTACCACACGACAGAATGTATACTTGACTTCGATCCGCATTGTACCGGGGAAGCCGTCTGCATCGTTAGGTGAAATATGGGTTAGGGTGATTGACTGTCCGGTTAACTCGCTAATGTCCCAAAGTACGCGGGAGAGGCCTTTCCTGTAAGACGTCAGAGTAGGGAACGAGGGCGACTGAGTGCGAAAGCTTAACAACTAGAAAAGCGGATAAATTCAAGGCGATGATCAAACAAAAATGCCAGCGTAATACTCTTTTCGGGAGCACTCATACTGTTTCCTACTTCAGCGTATTACGTATTCGAAGATTTAAATCAAACCGAGGCCAAAGTAACTTTCAGGCTACTAGTAGAGTTGGGCACTGTTTTCGACGTTTCCCTTCGCGCCCCTTTGGCCGACACGTTTTTTCGAGTAAGAAGTAAACATACAAGCTGGAACCGAGGTTTTCTTTCCATAAGAGACTGTCTGGACCTACCATATTCCCCATTGTATCGCATGCCTCCGCGACTTTTTAGCTGCGTTTGATTCGATTAACCCTGAATCACTGCGGACAGCCTCCTAGTTGATGATGTTCCCGCAACTCGTCAATCTCAAGGCATATTGCCCATCAATGAGGGCTCCAGTTAGGATATACTACGAACACATCATGGAATTTGACATCGTGTCTGTTGTGCAACACTGCTTACTGTTGTCGGTGCTGGTCATTTGAGCAGTCACGGGAAGGATAATCTCGTGTACACCTACGTCCTCAAGGTTCAAAAACATACTTTGATTATGATGACATCGTTTTTATGAATGGGGGATCAAGAAAACTCCAGACCGTACTGAGCAATCTAATTCACAGTGCAGCAGAGGACCAAGTTTTTTTTCTATCTGCATTGAATGTCTGACTACCAGCTCAGTGTCTCCACTGATAATGTCAGTACTGGTCTGGCATCTGTCGGGCAAAACAATGATGAAATTGTAAATCTTTAGCTCCTGTATCGTGTCGCGGATGGTGTTGTCAGTCCGCGGGACAAGTGAAATCTTCGCTCAATACGGGGAAATGGAACAATTTAATCTGCATACGGTCCAAGAATTCCTTCAGAACAATCAAAATTGATTCACGGTTTGTGTAGATCTGACTGCAGGTCGCTGCGCCTCGTGAAATATGTATGCCGCACATTTCTGAAGCCGAACAATCCGCGTTAGAAGAGAGTCGGTTGAACTTGGAGTAAGTAACAGACGGAGCGTTGCTCGACGAAGTTTAATCCCCGACTAAGAGTTTCCCCCGCAAGGACTCAACGTGCAAAACAATTGAGAATCACCAAAATTATCTGTTTCGAAGTGTTTTAAGTAATCCCGTATACCGGTTATCATATTAATAATGGAAACTGGAAATTACAAGTCGGCCATCACGGAGTATATCTTCCCACGTTGGGAAGGATTAGACCGTCAATGCGTTTCGTCAAACGGATGTTACTCAACAGTAGTTATTGAAGACCTTGTCCATCTTAAAACATCCGGACATTTTTATAAGATGTCATGATAAAAACCACAGGGGAACTGAGGATGAATCTTGAAGCGTGTCCGCAATGACCCAAAAGTTATTCGACGTTAGCTTGAGGTGTCCCAAGGGTCATTCGACATCCCATGAAACTAGAAGCTTTGTGAACCCCTCAGGACATCTGAGTTACTCTTGGATGTATGACAACATTACACTTTTTCGATAATCTTAAAAATATCAATAGAGTATCCTGTGTCGAGGAAAACTGTAGGATAAAATCAACCGAAATGCATTGTACTATCCGGGCAGTGTAGTCAGCAATTTACTTGCGGGTTTTTCGTTCAACCTAACAAACCACTCCAACTTCTTGCAGCAATGTCTTTCCGTATGAAACGCGAGTCCATAACGTTAAGTCTGTCGTGTCTGCTATACCACTGAATTTGCCACCTAAAAAGTAACATAACCTATTTTGTTTTGACGGGAAACTCAACCGGATCTCTTGTTTATGACATTCTTTGACTGAATGTGTTGCACAAAGGCCGCCTTATGTTTCAGTTGGAACGATAGTCGAGAGATGGCAGTATGTTTTCTTGAAGGAAACTACTCAGGGGTTGGTTGTCGAAAGGCTTCAGCTTCAGTTGGAACGATAGTCGAGAGATGGCAGTATGTTTTCTTGAAGGAAACTACTCACGAGGTCGCTGTCGAAGAGGCTTCAGCAAACTAACAAATAGCTTCCTTCAACAACAACAACAATCGTATTTCACCTTCAATTGAGGTCCATTTGAATGAGACGGGTAATCCAAGTTTGTTGGGATATTAACCCACCTCCTATTATCGAGCAAGAATCTACCGGCTCCAGTCTCTATTTCCTCACAATGCACTGCTGTCTACCTGCAGGCGAAGTGCCATCGACGAATCTCAGCAGCTTGTGTGCCTGATGCATCTGTCCAAGTATCGTACGGGGGCAACGCGGATCGCAAGTCACTCACACACGTCCACGGCCCTCCCCTTCCCCATCGATATCATCATCATGTTAATTGGAAATAGCGATGCTCAGCTATCAGGCAGTCTTAGGAAAGGAATGTTATGGTAGGAAGTGCGAAGAACTAAGAGGAGTGGAAGAAGAAAGAAAATGTATGCCCTAAGAAAAAACAATAAAGAACAGAGTTGAGCATCATCGGAATAAGACACCAGCAGTGGGATTAAACCAGCATTCTATGTGAAACTTATCAAACGTGAGTACAAAGCACGGCAGTTAGACGGCACCGCTACTGAAAGTAAACTAGGAGCATCTTGTACGGATTCCTCTCAAAGGACAGGTGCAACAGGGAACACATGAAACCAAATTACACTGAGCCGACAAACTGCCAACAGGTCTGCGAATAAAGCATATTGGTTCATCTGATATTACTTCTCAAGCATGTAGGTCAGCTGAAAGGTCCAATCAAAGCCCATGCATCCAAGGAAAATGTACTAAGCGATGTTTTATCCAATAAAAGTTTGCAGCACTGCTCCGACTGTTAATATTTCCCAACTTACTATACTCTATATGGGGACACTCAAACCATTTATAACTTCGAGATACTGTACATTTAGTTGTTCGATAGGAATCATTATCATCACCAGAAACAGACATTAGTGTTGATACAGCATTTTAATTGTAGAACCATTGAGTGTAAGAGGAGCTGGTACTGGCCTACCGCAAGCATTCTGGGGTCTAAAGACCTGCAAACCCCCAATCACACAATCTCGAATGAAGCCGAATGCACGAATGTCACTGACATCTATCACTCACCAGTTATTGCGATGTCCCTAGCCAAACACACGGAGGGTGCGTCACGGACACCGTATCGTGGAAGGAGGACCGAGCCAACAACATATAAACCCTACGTACTCTCTTTAACACCCTTCTTTCACGTCACACTTCGTCCACCTCACGATTCGCGCTATTCTGAACGAGATACGGACAACAAACACGTCTCCGCAAACGATATTTTTGCATGCAACTGAAGTACATTCTGTACAACCAAACACCCACTTTCTAATGACCTCGCTGATGATGATGAAGGTCGTTTAGCTGCAGCATCTATTCGGTGTCTAGTTGCCATGCCACCCGAGGGATGCACAAGGGCTGGAATACTGCCAGGCTACCAAAGCCTAGACAAGAGGAATCGAGAGGTAGAGGTCGGGTTCGAAACACGGACCTTCCTGTCAGTAAATTCGTGCTCTGACCACTGAGCCATCTCGCACTGACGTCATTAAGAATTCACCGGCGCCTCCATCACCAGAAACACATGAGACATTGGTGATGGAAATCCTGAAGATACCTCATATCACCTCTCCGCAAAGTTCAGGTCCCTCAACCATACAACAACACGGGCCTTGTTGTGGTACACGCGACCCTTAGTACCCAGCGACGCCACAAGTGACGCAAATAAGCAAACGTGATTCGGATCTGTGAGATTAGTGCTCTGGCTTCATCAAACACCCTTCTATCAGAACGAATACAATTACCCAGGTGCATAATTTAGCGCAAACTCCAGTGCTTTTACTTTAATTTCCCATAGGCCACATGCTCGATGCGCGACTTTGTACTTTGTACGCAAAGTGCATGCCAAAAGATGATATGATGGTAACCAGTCTATTGAACACGGCTTGTGTTCCGCTTTGATCTTCAAGGATGAGGGCGATATCGTCTGCGTGCTCTAGACTGATCAGGAACAACTTGAACACCGGGGTTTCGAAGATTTTCAGGCGTTTGCCTCATTATTTCATCAATGATGAAGTTGAACAAGAATGCACAGAGTGGGCATTCTTGTCGGACACCATTTTTGTAGCGAACCTTTTGGAGAGCTCACCATACACTCTCACCCGCCCAGGAGTATGTGAATATGGGGATCGGATTATGCACACAAACTTCTGGGGCATACCCTGCTGGGTAAGTGTACCGAATCGTTCAGCTATAGCACCTTTTCGGCGCCTAACTGTCATGCCACCAGAAAGAAGCGCGAGGGTTGAGACACTGCCAGGTTGCCCGAGCCTAGACAGAGGAAGTTGGGAGGCAGAACTCAGATTCAAACCACGGACCTTCCGGTCAGTAAATTCGCGCTCTAACCACTGATCCATCTTGCCCCCAAGAGCACTGGCCGATATGCGGAATCGAACGCAACCTTGTATTTAGGGACCACCAAGATTGTGGGTTATCTCTTACATGCGATGTTGCTCAAACACGTGATGAATATGAAGATGTGGTCGATGCAGCCTCTACTTGGCCGAAATCCCGCTTGATGTTCCCGTAGACCTGAAAAGCGCTATGAAAAGCACCAGTGGGGAAGTGCGTCGTCGGAGTTACCCTGGTACTTCAGAAGAAGCGTCAGGCTGTGATCGATCCTAACCACCGGTAACAGAGCACTGTGGTCTATTTGGATTAGGGGATGGTGCGTTAATGGGCACAACGATTTCCGCTGTTCAGGAAATTGACACTGCGACGAAACAGTCCGTGACTGGCACGCAACTGAAGCAGGCGTATGTCTAATGAGGTATTCAGTTAGGACTCAGCTGAGTCTTCCGTTTAAAACAAGGTAGTGCAAAATGAGTGTATTTCGTGAATTTCGTAGCATTTCAGTTCAATTAAAACAAAGTTGACGGAAACGTGGAAACCTTGCCTACCTGGTGAGCCCTGAGAAGGGTGAAACCGGCCGTGGGCGGTCAAAGAGTTTTCAGCAACCTTATGAGTAGTTTCTTCCAATTGAGGAAACAGCCGCTCAATTCAGAAGAGCCAGTTGTTGACGTCCCAGGTAAAAGGATAGAGCTTATGCAACAACTGATGTATCAATAGCTTAGGCGCCTGGTCCCTTAGTAGTTAGGCAGTGCATGTACAAACATGTTTACGCGTGCGGTAAGACTAGTGAACCTTCTCCCTAGGGAAGGAACGTCCTCACAACAAAGATTAATCGAACAGTTTCTTCTGCGTCTTTTGCTGGATATGCAAGAACGCAGAGCTGACATACTCACCTCCCTCCATGCACGCAGTGACGATCATCTGAATTGCTTGTCAGCCGGACTACCTTGTCCGTGCCTGGTATCGTAAATTGTGCATTCTCAATCCGTCCAGCTACTCGGCCCACGATCACACCGAGGTAGGGAGGATTTGTTTCATAGCTCTCAGCATCCCTATAACCAAGAACCACGTCAAACATATCCAGGGCTCCATCGGAATTGCGCCCAGGCACACAACAAGATACGATTGCAGCTCCAAAGGTACAGACCTTTAGACAGGCCGGTCGGTTGATACCTGATAAATTTTCTGTCTTTATGGTGACCAGCTGAACTCGTTGCCCATCCGAGGTTACACCGAAATCCTCAACAACTCCAGTACCTTGAGTGGACATCTAAAAATGAATATGAAAATGCTACAAAAAGATCGTGAAACTGTAATCCAGTTAGGAAATAGTTTAATGAGGTTGTCACGAAGACACACTGGTAAAGGGAGAATGTCTCCAATTACTTGGGAGAAGATACTTCACATATTACTTCGCGATGAAGGGCCTTTCACAATGAAAGAACCCCCAAAAATTCTACCTTGGGGAGTGGTTCCCATGAGAGGGTTCAGTCACTGACGCTTTTTTGCTGTTTATAAAGGGCAAGACTACACAGCCTAGCGTACTAATGAAAAAGTGGGAAAATAGTTGTAGTTGGAAGGATACAAGGTCTTTTCGTAGTCACTTCCTTTCTGGAAACATTTTGAAAATAGTGTGCCTTATTAACCTTTCCAAGGTACTACGAGTCAGCCCAAGTAGGAGAAACTACTTACAAGAGTGTGCATATAAATGAGATTCAACCCGTGAAACTTCCAAACATCTGTACGGCATCTTCTTACTCATGAGGAGGTATTTCCTGAAGAAGACAAGATGCACTTTCAGCTCCTCAAAACAGCCGTTCTACTCTGTGGGTGAAACAATACAATGTCGATTATCCTTATACTGCCTGTTGTCTGTCACTCTGAACCACTGACATCAACCACACTGCACTGGACTTCGGCGATCTGGTAACGCTAGGTACTCGCATGGCGGTGAATGTTCAGCAACTTGAATCTGAGAAGTGGGAAGTAGGAGCTACCGATGTGCAGTAGCGCTCTGAATTACTTGCAATCATTTGGTTTTACACAATGAACGAACAATTATATTGGTATTTCTATAGTTGGTAATAATAATTAGCAGAAGCTGATGATCTCAGTCGCAGATGTGAAAGTAGTTAATAGCTGAGTCAATCACACCTAAAAGAAACACTAACCTAGTAAGATCATGCGACAAAATGTTTAAAACGCCTGAGAATAACTGATTTGCCTTGAAGAAGCGCAGAAGTTGAATGCGACACTTCAGAGAAGTATGATACGGCTAAATGTTGCATTTAGGATAAGAGCAGTAGTAAAGAGCGGTTTGTATCAACTCTACTCTGTGTCACTCGGGACTCCAAAGGGGTTGATAGGTAGGCGAATCGCCTCATAGACATTCATCCAGGTTGTTCTCTAACGCCCCAAACCATAGGTTTTGTCTGGAAAACTTCGTCACTGTCTCACCCTACAGGAGGATAATGCAGAACACATCAGATAGGTTGATACAAGAGAGAATGTTTATAGTTCAGTGAACAAATCGACCGCTAAAGGTCTGGACTCCTCCAGCTTGAGTGTATGTCTCCTTCTGTGAGTGCGCAGGTGGAAGAGCGATTCTGACACAATATCATGATGCAACACGAGGTCATATCTATTCGGCAGTGGTACTGGAAAGAGAACAGACCAAGATCCTGACATCGCTCTGGAATCCACATGTCACGTGTTCAATTCACCTTTGTAGCACGGTGAACGAGTAACAGTCAGATGAGCTTCCCTCTCTTTGGAATGAGATCGATCGATGGCGGGACCAAAGCATGCGATATCCCGAGGCAAGTATCTTAGACATGCGATCTTTCGAAATCGAATCAAACGTGTATACCCTCATACCACGAGATTCTGCCGTTGCTTCAGTAGAAGGAATGTACGAATGGGTCTCATGGACATACTTATGGATTAATAACGAAATGTAAAAGTGTTCCACAGATGTTCAACTACACCCGTCTATTGTCCCGCACTACTCTTGTAACCTCGATGAATCTGGTGCCCCATTATCCCGTCACACACAGAGGTTGATCACTTATGGGGAATACTCGCTGGATATCTTGTCCGATAGGTTATTCAAATACAAACTGCATAGAAGTAGACACAACCTCACACATGAGGTACCCCATCACCAGCTGTACGGAAATTCAGCAGGCCGTTCGCCACGTAAAGAGTTACGGAAACGATTAATTTTTGGGTAGTTAGTTCCCGATTCAATGAATACGAGGGGTTTGACAATTGTTGAAGTACTGCTGGGTGTTTAGGTCCTACTGAAAAGTTCCGAACAAGTTATATTCAGTTCCGCATATCTAAAAGGATTGTATTGGGCCTTAATTCATAATCACTTTTAGATTTCTCGATAAAGTTTGGATACTCAACGGTGGTTTGCTAATTCTTATCCAATACTATAGTCAGACGAAGTGTACTCCGGAAGAGAACCCAAAATTCTACTCATAAACATTTACTCGTGTTCAGTCTAGACATTTGTGGAGCCGGACGATGGAAAAGTGGCTGATTTGTTGGATGAGGTGACTGTATATTGTCAGAGTTATCCTGCTTATCGGAGACGCATCACATTGAATTTTTCAGTGAGGCATTCAATTCGTGGAATGCCAGTCAGCAAAATCGTCCTGCTGTCGTAGCACAGGTTGAAAAATGATTGAGTAGAACTGAGTTTATTTTGCTCTACTGTTGAAAGTGTGTTGTGCAAATTTGTCAATTGTCAAGTAAGATTTCGTCCTGCAACCACCCCCTATCAATGCTGAAAAGCATAGCACTGCACAGCTTTATACTCATTGGGAATCATCAGCAGGGTGTATCTCACGAAAAAAAAACCACGAATTTACGAATCCGCGATCTCCCGGCTAATAGTTTGATCACTTAATCGTTCAGCCACGAGCAGCTGGAGAGAATGCAATATTCCGCACATAAAAAATTTAAAAACACCAGAAATCCTTATACGGGAGGAGAGTAACTTATTCACACCAACTCCCAATACGAGACACTGCTTCCACATTACAATTTTGGATAACCCTGTGGATAATCTTTTGTAGGACAATAACTTACACAGGGTCACTCTTCAAGTATCGGATTCAGTTCTGAATTTCACTATGAAATTCACCCTTAAAAACAACGAAACCATCCCACTCAAAAGATAACATAATCGGCGCCCACGAACAAATAAATTACTACCGTGGGATCATGAAACGAAAGCCCTTCCAACAAAAGCCACTTTTTGTCATCCTTAGGAGTAAGTCACTATGGAAGAGCGATTGTAGTTAAAGTAAACCCGAAGTAACCATCTCCAGTGGCCAGCGACATCGGTTACCAGTACGCGTTACCGGTAGCCGGCGACAGACAGTTATATTTATATTTTGTTTGTTTACGGCTATTTGTGAGACTTTTTACCTGGAGACCAGTTGTCCCATTTTATCAGTCGTATTGAAAAGATGTTGGCACAAAAAATCGCGTTCTTTGAGAAAGCTAACAAAGCAGGCTGAATTCAGACAGTCTTTTACAAATGGCTTTCAACTTTACATTTCAGCAAAGTTCGACTTATCCTTATCGTTCTGAGACGTATGAACGGAATATGCACCTTTCGAAGTTACAGTTCGCAGAACCTATTCTTGCTTCCATAAGCACCCTTGGTTCGACCTATCATAAAGTTTCTCAATAACTGTACTACCCAGACCCATATGGCATTGACGAAGGCGCAGGCGGCTTACCTAACACTGGTTACACTAACGCTCCATCAACTCATGAAGCGAGTAAGTGACGTTATTTCAGTTGTATCTGAAAAGCCGGTTCTTAGCCCCATGTATTGAGAAGCTAAGTGGAAATAAGAAAGATGACCCTACTAAGCTTTATAACAAAGTCAAGCCTAGGGAATGCCTCAATAAATATGTTACCCGCGTAATGTCAAGCTACATGTGCCGCGGGACATATTGATATATGTACCAAACTTGTTCGCGTTAATATTGATAGACACTGTTGTACGGGAATCACGCTCTGTATGTTGATTACTGTACCGGTCGGAGGAGTAGTCCTTCAACAGTACAACTTTTTTCGAACTGCTGCATAAAACGTCGCTATTAGGGAAGCAACCAGTCAGGCGGCAGACTGATTTGTTAACGAAAAAGCGTTCCGAAAAAAACAGATGCACGAGACATCATGTTACGGCTTAGACGCATCACCAGTTGGTCTAGTTGGACCTGTCACCTTCCTATCGGGTGCTTCCACAAACCTACACACACGATCTCTGTGTAACCAGACAAACTGAAATTGGCGTTCTGTTTGGATAGATAGTTACTACGCAGTCCAAACTCTGGCTCTGCAGACCGACACCTGATTATGACGTACACCGAGGAAGGGTTAATACGACTATGTGTCTTAACGTGCTGATGTAACGGCGTATACTACTGTGAAGCATGCAAGTAGCCCATTGTTCGCTCTCCAGTGTCGGCTCTCGTACCTGACGGAAGGTGAAGGTTAATATGGAGATTATGGAACCGTTGTGTTGCGTTCGTTTGCAATTGTCCAGAAAAGTTCAAGAAGACGCTTGGGAATGTCCACTTTTCAAAAACCATGCATATGGGATAACTACTTCCGTTTCCAATAGCTTGTAATCGCTTAGTCTGTGTTTGCCAATAGGTGACCACGCGGCTTTCCTCCCTTCACTGATATCAACTCCAAAGGTTTCATGGTTGCTTACTACCTTATTGCTCGAAATGAATGTAACAAGTGGGAGGTACATCAGAGAACCCACCACAACACAGAATTTGTGATCTTCGTAGAGAGGTAATGTAGTCAAAGTGTGTGGAAATTGTATTTGCTATTTACTTGTGAGTTTTCGACGTTCCATATCATTCGGAAAGTGGTCATTACAACAAGGTGAACAGCTTTGGAGAAGCATTCCATCACTATCTTGTTGTCTGTAGTGAAACAGACCATATAGTTCAGACCAAATGTAAATGGTAAAGATTTTCGATACGAGTAAATAAAAGAGCAGCAAGCTTATTAGGGTTTGATTTTGGGAAAGATGCGGCCAAATATACGCTGGCCTTCGAATGCATATATCTGGTCGCTCTAAACGGCTGGCGTTTGGATCCCCTCTGCTCGACATCCGAATGATCATTTTCAAAACGCCATGCACCAGATTTATAATACACCGCTACCTGTTCACAGCGATTTCTAAGAACAGAATAAGTCTGACTCGAATTGAGAGTTGGTTAGTACGACCATGTGTGCTAGGCTCTGATCAGAATCAAGCTTTATGGAGCTAAGATACAGAAGTCCTCTAGTGTGGAATCACTGCTGTACAGGACACGAAACTTGCCTTTCTCTACAAGTTTAGCTGGACATTAGCACCTCTAGTTAAACTGGCAGTTACTCAGTCTACCAGGTCAGAAAAACTGTGACCTGAAGTGAAGGTGTTCGGAGACAGAAGCAAAAAACGCTTAACACTGAAAGCCTCTATATGCGTACGACTGCGAGTACCTAAATGAGTGGAGCAGGGGGATTTGATGCGGCGAGGTACAACAAAATTAATCCGCATTACTGTGCAAACACATACTGTTGAGTTTGTAAAGCAAGTGACTGTTTTGTGTTCGAGTATTGCTACCGCCAAACTTGTGATATGAGAATGATCCAGAAGGTACCCTCACTATGACTGCATGCAAAAAAAAACTAGGATAAAAAGGCTAACAGAGGAATGGCACCAATTCCGGACTTCCAATTTTATTGGCTATAGGCGGAATCCGCTATAAAGGCAGTCCGTATTCACGGGTCTCACGGTACTCCAACATGCAATTTAATGGTTCTACTTACGTGTACGTTTGCGTAATCGTTAACTGACTTAGCCCAGCCGGTCGGTAAGTATTGAGAAATACAAATAAGATGTACTGTATTGTCACCACTCGCCAACACATACACTCATCAACTGTAACATGAACAAACTAGTCGCCTGGAAGAGATACTTAGTCATCGCACGCCCGTTTCGGATGACAGGCTCCGACCCATCTTGTTATGTGGTTACTCAACTTGTGTAAACTCGCTTATCTTCGTCGCATGGTACGACAGAACCTCGAGGGACGGCGTGCCAGTCAGTAAAGCCAGGGAGAAGATAGTAGCACTAAAGTCAGATCACCAAATTCAAGGAGAAACTACTGGGTCATAGATATTTCAAAACAAATTGAAATATTGGAAGAAAAATTTTGAAGACATTCTTCACTGGCTGCTTTTTTTGTGGAAGAACGACAAATATAGGAAGCCTGTGTGCAGCTCTACACCTTCGAGAAAGAAAAACGAAGAAGTTAGACGCATGGTATGAAAGCCTATGTGCGGAAGTAATGGAACTTTCCTTTCAGTCGGCCGAGTCATACAAATGTCGGCTTCACGCACCCAATTCGACAATTAAAAATTACGTACGAGTGCTCGCGTGAAATAGAAGCGTTGCACCCCTATTCACAAACAATAGTCTATTGCACACCTTGATGGTCAACAAGCTCGGCATAACTATCATAAGAACTCAAGAACACGAACTATTCAATAGCAAGTTTATTGAGGAAAGACAAAGAATTGTGAAATAAACTGGACAAGGGACGCATGAAACAAGCAAACATTATGGAGAGATTAGTTTATCATTTGAAGCCGCAGGCCCATTCGTTCGATTACATATTGGGGCATGCAAAATATCGGATTGATAGGCTTCAAACGTGTTTTGGCCAGAGATATTGCATCTGCCACAAACTCCTCAACATTAATTTCATCAATTGTCGTCAGGTCACCATTCTTGCCACAACCGTTGGGACAAGTGTGCGAGGAAGGATTATCATAGTGTGCAATCAAAGAAAGACCCGCAAGACCAAACAAAGTATGGAAAGGATCGGCAATATCACCAGGCCTATCCGCGATTCCCCCAGTTTCCGAATCTTGCGAAGCCAGTATGAAATGTGTCAACTTTTTCTCATCGATCCACGCAAGCCGTCCGAGGATCGTAAGACTAGCTAACGTCCACCTAGCGTGAAAATAAAGAAATGCATAGATAAATTCATGGGATTACTCAGTCATCCACGGAACCACTCACGACTATGAGAACTTCGGTTTTGTAGCAGAAAACGTTCCTATGCATGGCCAACAAAATTTGTCAAACACGAAGCGCCTCACATACTAGTGGCATACAGCTAAAATGAGGCATCGTCATTATAAATTCCAGCATTGGCTTGCTCATGTCAAGCTTATTTCGCAGAACAAACCCTAAAACAGAAATCATCATTACATCCCACTTGAGGCACACGATCAATTCAACACCGCAAATATAACTTAATTTGAAAGAAAATGCAACCATGACAAACGCACCATGAGTAGCAAACATCCGGCTTTTTCTCCGGTCGGCCATTCAATCCACCACTGGGCAATTGCCGTTCGGCCAACCACCAGGCTGCACGATCCAAATCTAGCCTTCGTAGTTCACGAAGAATAGCTAGAGCCCCTAGGACACAGTATGCCTGTCCGGCATGAGATTCGCTACCGGGCTTTGTACCGAACCCCCCATCGAGATTCTGACAACGCTCCAGGTAAGAAGCACAGGCTTCCACATTAAGGCGACCGGAGTCAGCGCATTCGTCCAAACGACCCATCAGATGTAGGGAAGCGATAGCGCAAAATGAGAAGCGGGTGTCGATTTCGCCCCATTGGTCACCACAGAAGCTACCGTCCGGTTGCTAAACAACAGGAAATAAGGCGAAAAATAATAAAGCATGCCATGTACCTAATAGAGTTAGTGAACGACTTTAAAAAAACATCCACGGGAATGACACCGTGCAATACCATTTAACCAAAACGATTCCGTACAACCTGCACCCATTGGGACTAGAACTTTGAGTCTAAGTGAAGCATCAAAGACACAAAACAGAGGAAGCCCTATGAGACCGATTTGGTGCACGCAGCACTCCACCCACAACAAACTAGCAAGGTTGTTATTGAATATTTAAAAGCCAACTCGTGAACTGACACACAGTATGTTCAATATGCCTTCATAAGCTACATCTGGACCCCGTATCGGTGAGTACTGAGAAAACGTATTCCACTGACTGTAACTCCCTATTCACCAGCATCCCAGTTCACTATACAGCACACTACCTGTATGATTTTGTCACAGGAAAATAGCTGTATATATGCAGAATGGTGGCATAACAACGCGTAGGCCATTTATCAGGTTTTTCTGGGGATGTCTGAACGCCCACTATCTAAATACACCGAAAGTCAACGTGGACTAGTCAGTAACTTCAATCTTCAAGTTTTATTCCAAGAAGTTACACGAGAGAATAGTGCGCACTTTACTCACGCACGTAGCTCTTCCTCCCTTCAGGGAAAGGGGAGAATTTTTAACACAGACGTTACAGTCAGTTAGTTTCTCCAAGAAATTTACTGCTGTTGGCAGCAAACAGTTCACACAGTCGAAAGGAAACATTTTTTGTCAAGCTACACAGCTAAAGAGCGACTATTTACCTACAACTGCGAGACGTAAATTGCGGCTTGCAGTTGTCGTACTTATCTAACAGTAAAACGATCTGCTTCACCAACGAGATAAATGAACCTAAGCGCCTCAACACAACGTGCCCAAAGTTTACCTCACACGTCGCGCATCAGTTCGCCTGCAACTGAAATCTACAGCGTCAAAAGAGAGCGCAGATTCTGTAAATGTGCTTCAAAATATGTGCCTCGCTGCTTGAGTCAAGTGACCGATCGAAATATGGGACCAAGGCAAGCCGATGACCACGTGACGGAACAAAGTGCGTCAGTGTCACTAAGCCAAATCTGCTACGGCCTGAGTTCCTAACCCGGGAAAACGACATTTGCAAAGGCAACCGATTTGGGCGATGAGTGCTTTCAAGCCTTGCAGTATCATAGACTGGTGGCCCCCTGATTCTTTCGTACTTGGCATGTGACTGCGGAGAGCGGAACCCAGAAAAACAAACGGTCGGCTGCCATACCAAAGAGGCCTATGGTGTGAGAGATTTATTTTTCTTTGACACCATCTGGTGTGCATCAGCAGTACTGATAGAATGCAAATCTGCCAATCCATCCCCTGCTTGATCATCGTGTATCCTAGATATTTCTAGAGCTGACTAATTCTGTTTCATGAAATAGTTGTCAGGACATAATTACTGTCCCCACCTGATCCGTCTGACGCTTTCGAGGCACTGATCGTCGAAAACAGCTTTCGTATATCCCCTACGTGCAGCACCCATGACTCTAATATGTAAAACAGGGTGAATCACATCGCAACAATGCACACACTATTCTCGACAGCTAAACTGATGTCCCAGCTGCGACACACAGCAGCGGTTGGCCAGCGTCCTCTAGATTCGAGAGTTGATTTTATCTTCGGCCAGTCCGTCGGGACCTATTCAGCTGCCCAAACGGGTCAATTTATCCACCATATTGATGAATTCATACGCAACCATGAGGTACGGATGTGATGCTGTGATGTTTGTGTGAAGCTCACGCTGAACCATGAAATAGAATGACTACAGTAAGTTAAAATCGGTAAATGTGATCAGATGCTCAAATCTCAAACACACAAGCGCATTCGTTTTCATCCGTACCCACCAGGTGCGTGCAGAGGTCTGCATTTTCAGGGATCTGATCGAAGAACAGTCATACGGTGAGTGTACTCAGTGTTAGTGAGCGAATGTCGAGGACTTGCGATCCCAGCGTTCGTGCAGATGAATAAAATCCGACAACGAAGCTGAAAAAAGACAGGATAGCCTCGCCTGATACCGCTAGGTGTGAAGACCTCGGACAAACCTTTTTCACATACTTATACGCGTTCACGCAACAAAAACCCGAAAGGAACTTTTTCAAACTCCAGAACCTGTCTGACGATGGAAGAAGCTAAAAGCAACATTTAATCAAAGAAAATCGATCACCGTTGATCGTAAGAAGTAATGTTGTAATCCGAGAACTTAGCACAACTAAATAAACTAACGAAAAGGATCGTGGACTGGTAGATAGTTGCGCTGTTTGTATCAAGCAACATGCAACCAGTGACTTCATGCAGAGGCCGGCAAACATTTTCAGCCGTCAGCCGGAAGGAAAACTGAGCCAAGTTAACCGACGGGAGCCCAATGCAACGTCATCGTTTGTAACTACCAGTGGCTGTTTTTGGTCTGCTGCGTTACCATCTGCACCGTTAGAGGATGTGTTAAAGGTGTATTGATATACAACCAACGGACACACGACTTAAAACCTCTACCACTGCGACCGGGGCCGATCGGTACTGCCAACCGTCGTTTTAATGGAGTTTTTTTACCGTGTCAGCATGATAGAGTTGACTTACGAATTTTCGTACGCAAAGTGTCAATACATGCGAAAGATAACCAGCTAAATGTCTCATTTGGAGTTCACCAGGCATTATAAAACTCACTAAATCTGAGCAACCGAGCATAAGTGCAATAAGCCAACGGATCACACCCTTCAACGGCCCACTGATGATCTTATCCCGCCAAGTCATGAAACATTCGCAACCGAATCGTCCAGGACAGCGAACGGACCAACGACCAGAACCGGTTGTCGTTCCCTGATACCTGCTCAGGAACAAGCTCCAACGATTGTAAAGTGCTCGTCACACTAGTGTACCCATCAGTTGACAAAAAGCACCATATCAACTTTTCAATTGTAAGTTATCCGTAACATTGTTTTCGATACTGTGTCGTGGCGTCCTTGTAATAACTTTTTTAGAGGTTTTAATTTTCTTCGATCATCTCAATCGTTTTCATGTCTACGTTTGGGTGTCTTGGCAGTATCTTAGTCGACGTACAACTAGGAAATGCAAAAATGCAAATAGTTTCATGATACATCGACCTTTATTCGATGTGGCCGATCAAGTCACTTTAAGTGTAGCATTCAGCTGGGACGGCGAGCGAAAACAGAACACGAATACTCTTGAAACTCTTTTTTTTGTTGCACTGGTCAAAAAGCAGACAAACTGACGATTGTCATTCCCCGACAAAAGTGCCTTGTGCTTCCTCAGATTCTTCAAAGTCTTGGAAACGCACATTCTCAACAAACAACAAAGGCTTCGCTGTGGTGCCGTACCGGTGTACAGCAGCCGTGCAACTCGAAAGAAGCACAGGGGCTGAGACACTGAGAGGAGCAATAGAAAAGCCACGAACCCTCGGGTCAGTAGTCTCGTGCTTGGACCGATGAGTTGTCTCGGTCTCTTTCAGTCTCAAATGTTCTTTAGAGGTAAGATGCTCCCAGGACTGACTTATATAGGGTATAGGGAGTTTTGAAATAAGACTCCACTCCTTCCCCTCCTTTTCCCTTTACTAAGGCATTCCTCATCCACGGCTATGTCAATTAGCTATTGCTATTCAATACCAATGTACTGTGGTCCATAATAATGATACATTTTCATGAAGGCGAAAAACTGACTTTCTAACTGCTTGGTGCTTCTGTATGACACGTTATCTTCTAGGGATATGTGTACAGACGTGCAAGTGACACCGCTGGTTAAGGCCACCTCCGAGACTCAGCGGTCAAAGTTGCCTGAAACCAAGGTTGCCTGGGCTCGTGTTTGCCTGGTTCGATGTTACCATGGTCTTATCATCTGACAGCACCGTGATGTATCCTGTAGATAGAAAGACCAATGGAGTGCACCAGCATGGGAAGCATTATGGCTTGAATATTGCACAGTTGGTAAGGGTTAGATAGCTTGGACTATGAATCGCACATATGCCTGAAATGGTTTTCTCCTTTCAAACTGGAAAAATGAGCACATCTAGTTCGGTGCACCCAAATATGATGCGTTGATGCCTTCTAATCATTACCAGTCCATTCGTGACGTTAGATTTTGCCGTACATAAGACGAAGGTTCGAAATTCCGGTAAATCGCCAAGGTAGGGATGGATAGGAAGGATAATATCAAAACAGTGTCTTCAATTTAGTCCTAGCTGAATGGATATGACTTGTGAAATCTAGACTTTTCCGGACAACTGACTAATAATGGCGTCCATACAATTCCACAGCCATCATTTTTGTCCTTTTGCCCCTTTGAGATCTTCTGAAGGTGAAATTCAGCACAAGCATGTATTTTGTTTTAACTATATGTAGAGGTTCAATAATTCGCGCTCGCATCACTCTCATTTGAACAATCCTTCTACTGCCCTGGTGCGACTATTCTCTTGAATCCATACCAAACAGAAGAAGCACTGGATTCGAGTTTCGCTCTTCTTAGAGCCCAGCAGCAGCATATTCTTGACCGTGCCACTGTTTGAACTACAGGCGAGGCGAGTGTTTTCTAACCACTCTATCAGCGCACGCTGAATGCACATGAATTCTCAATTCTGAACAGGCTATTGTGTTCACGCTAGAGCGATGTGATTGGTTCGCCCGGCGCCCAGACGAGGACCCAGTAACTATCTTGGTTGTGTCGATCTAAGGTTACAGTTATGGAATTTCTGAGTGACAGCAGTCTATATAACTGTCGCATCAGAATGATGCACGCCGATTATCCGTTTCTGTCAAACGAGTCATTATGAAAAAGCCTTTCTTGTTAGTTAGCCAGAGCCCAATAAGAATAATACGATAACACCATGCAATAAAAGCCGGTTACAGCCACTGCTGTCGGAACCGTTCGAGTGGTTGCTCCGAAAAGAGAGAGGACGAGGAAATCACAGTGCTCCTTCGTGAGCAAGAGGTAAATTCGAAGTTCATC